AGGGGTGAATAAATAGAAGAATGAATGGCTGACATGAGCTTTCTGATGCTGGTTACTGATCTTGGAGATGCCGCTAATTGAAGGACTTAGCAAAGTCACTCCATTTTCCTGAGTCTTGGTTCTCTCATCTGGAAAAAGAAGGCTGTTTTTTAAACTGCATATAATCTCTATGGCACCTCCGGCTCCATCTGTTTTTTACCTGTTCAGGTTGTCGTACCTTCTGAATTAACTGAGTCTAGAAACACTGTACTCTGCGATGTTGAAGAATGCAAGGATAGAAGAACTTCTTCAAGAGTGCCAGGGAAGATTAAAAGGAGAGAAAGAAACAAGAGCTGAAACAAAGTCTTAAAGACTCACCCTGAAGATCTCTTGACTTGCCCACGGATCACTATAAAATGCACCAAAATTCACAGCCTGAACACTGACCATCATCAAAAGCACCCAGATTACTGAGCAATTTACACACAATGTCTCAGCTAACACAATAACCCTGTGAGTTGGGAACTACTATTGTCCCATTTTTCAGTTGAAAATAAATGAGGTAATGGTAAATGGGAGTGTTTTCTTGATTTCACTTTCAGATTTTTCATCATTAGTGTATAGGAATGCCAGAGATTTCTGTGTATTAATTTTGTATCCTGCTACTTTACCAAATTCGTTGATTAGCTCTAGTAGTTTTCTGGTAGCATCTTTAGGATTCTCTATGTATAGTATCATGTCATCTGCAAACAGTGACAGCTTTACTTCTTCTTTTCCGATTTGGATTTCTTTTATTTCCTTTTCTTATCTGATTGCAGTGGCTAAAACTTCCAAAACTATGTTGAATAAGAGTGGTGAGAGTGGGCAACCTTGTTTTGTTCCTGATCTTAAGTGGAAATGCTTTCAGTTTTTCACCATTGAGAACAATGTTGGCTGTGGGTTTGTCATATATGGCCTTTATTATGTTGAGGAAAGTTCCCTCTATGCCTACATTCTGTAGGGCTTTTATCATAAATGGGTGTTGAATTTTATCGAAAACTTTCTCTGCATCTCTTGAGATGATCATATGGTTTTTCACCTTCAATTTGTTAATATGGTGTACCACATTGATTGATTTGCATATATTGAAGAATCCTTGCATTCCTGGAATAAACCCCACTTGATCATGGTGTATGATCCTTTTAATGTGCTGTTGGATTCTGTTTGCTAGTATTTTGTTGAGGATTTTTGTATCTATGTTCATCAGTGATATTGGCCTGTAGTCATGCAGAAAATTATAAGATACTGATGAAAGAAATTAAAGATGATACAAATAGATGGAGAGATATACCATGTTCTTGGATTGGAAGAATCAACATTGAGAAAATGACTCTACTACCCAAAGCAATCTACAGATTCAATGCAATCCCTATCAAACTACCACTGGCATTTTTCACAGAACTAGAACAAAAAATTTCACAATGTGTATGGAAACACAAAAGACCCCGAATAGCCAAAGCAATCATGAGAACAAAAAACTGGAGCTGGAGGAATCAGGCTCCCTGACTTCAGACTATACTACAAAGCTACAGTAATCAAGACAGTATGGTACTGGCACAAAAACAGAAAGATCAATGGAACAGGATAGAAAGCCCAGAGATAAACCCACGCACATATGGTCACCTTATCTTTGATAAAGGAGGCAGGAATGTACAGTGGAGAAAGGACAGCCTCTTCAATAAGTGGTGCTGGGAAAACTGGACAGGTACATGTAAAAGTATGAGATTAGATCACTCCCTAACACCATACACAAAAATAAGCTCAAAATGGATTAACGACCTAAATGTAAGGCCAGAAACTATCAAACTCTTAGAGGAAAATAGAGGCAGTACATTCTATGACATAAATCACAGCAAGATCCTTTTTGACCCACCTCCTAGAGAAATGGAAATAAAACCAAAAATAAACAAATGGGACCTAATGAAACTTCAAAGCTTTTGCACAGCAAAGGAAACCATAAACAAGATGAAAAGACAACCCTCAGAATGGAAGAAAATATTTGCAAATGAAGCAACTGACAAAGGATTAATCTCCAAAATTTACAAGCAGCTCATGCAGCTCAATAACAAAAAAACAAACAACTCAATCAAAAAATGGGCAGAAGACCTAAATAGACATTTCTCCAAAGAAGATATACAGATTGCCAACAAACACATGAAAGAGTGCTCAACATCATTAATCATTAGAGAAATGCAAATCAAAACTGCAATGAGATATCATCTCACACCAGTCAGAATGGCCATCATCAAAAAATCTAGAAACAATAAATGCTGGAGAGAGTGTGGAGAAAAGGGAACACTCTTGCACTGATGGTGGGGATATAAATTGGTACAGCCACTATGGAGAACAGTATGGAGGTTCCTTAAAAAACTACAAATAGAACTACCATATGACCCAGCAATCCCACTCCTGGGCATGTGCCCTGAGAAAACCATAATTCAAAAAGAGTCATGTACCACAATGTTCATTGCAGCTCTATTTACAATAGCCAGGAGATGGAAACAACCTAAGTGTCCATCATCGGATGAATGGATAAAGAAGATGTGGCACATATATACAATGGAATATTACTCAGCCATAAAAAGAAACGAAATTGAGCTATTTGTAATGAGGTAGATGGACCTAGAGTCTGTCATACAGAGTGAAGTAAGTCAGAAAGAGAAAGACAAATACAGTATGCTAACACATATATATGGAATTTAAGAAAAAAAAAATGGTCATGAAGAACCTAGGGTCAAGATGGGAATAAAGACACAGACCTACTAGGGAATGGACTTGAGGATACAGGGAGGGGGAAGGGTAAGCTGGGACAAAGTGAGAAAGTGGCATGGACATATCTACACTACCAAATGTAAAATAGATAGCTAGTGGGAAGCAGCCGCATAGCACAGGGAGATCAGCTCAGTGCTTTGTGACCACCTAGAGGGGTGGGATAGGGAGGGTGGGAGGGAGGGAGACGCAAGAGGGAAGAGATATGGGAACATATTTATATATATAACTGATTCAATTTGTTGTAAAGCAGAAACTAACACACCATTGTAAAGCAATTATACTCCAAAAAGGTGTAAAATAAATAAATAAATGAGGTAAAGATAAGTAACTTGCTTATGGAGTGAGGGAGGGAAGTAAAATTCAAACCCAAGCAGCCCAACCCCAGAGCAACCACTTTCAAGAGGATCAAAAAACTCACATGAAAATTAATTCAGTTTGTCCTAAAAGTACATTTTAGCACTTCATGCCAGCATGTGGAGATCACTGGAGCAGTGCTGGGGTGCCCAGAAGTAGCTGGCATCACCAGTCTGACTTCTGAAACAGCTCCTGGCTCATGGACAGGAGGACAGAATTCCCCCAGGGCAATCACTCAGCTTCCCTGGGTCTCTGAGTTTCCTAATCAGATCCACGTTTTTTAAAAAAATTACTCTGTTTGCAGCAATATGGAGGACCTAGAGATTATTATACTAAGTGAAGTAAGTCAGACAGAAAAAAATCAAATAGCATACGATATCGCTTATATGTGGAATCTTAAAAAAATGATACAAATGAACTTATTTATAAAACAGAAATAGACTCACAGATATAGAAGATAAACTTATGGTTGCCCAAAAAGTGGGAGAGGAGGGATAAATTAGGAGTTTGGGATTAGCAGATATACACCATTATAAATAAAACAGTTGAACAACAAGGACCTACTGTATAGCACTGGGAACTATATTCAATATCTTATAATAACCTATAATGGAAAAGAACCTGAAAAGGAATAGATTTATATACATGTATGTATAACTGAATCACTTTGCTGTACACCTGAAACTAACACAACATTGTAAATCAACTATACTTCAATAATTTTTTTTAATTATTCTGGGTGTAAAGTGGAGGAGAGGTTGGAAGGCAATATGATCAGATCTGAGACCAGTTAAAAACATGTTGCCTGAGACCAGCTGATCCAAGATGGTGCCCTGGACTGAGGCTGCAACGATGGATGTGGAGAGAAGAGGCCAAATCCATGGGAATCGGCAACCATCAGGTACGGCAGGGCCGCAGCAAGGCAGAGGAAAGTCGAAGAACTGAATAGGCAAATGGACAGTGACAACATTTCCTGCAACCCGAAACACTGGGGGAAGACAGGGCTGGGGTCGGAAGGGTGAAGATGTGGTTTCGATGTGCCTTTTAGATGCACCTGGGAGGGGTGTCCAAGAGCAGACGCTAGTCGGGAACTCAAGGAAAGGAGGTCTAACAGGTTTTGTTTGTTTGGATTTTTCCTCCCTCCCTTTTTACACAGAGTGCGATGTGGCTACAATGGTGTGTTTTAAGACAAATAGGAATTAGGTACATAAGATAGAAAGAGGCAGTACAGCACCATGGGTGTAGCATCAGGCTAAGGGTCAGCATCCCTCTGAGTGCTGACCTGAAGCTCAAATTCTGCAAATCTTGGTTTTCACACATAAACTAAAGGGATGGGACCAGAGCTCTAAAACCTCTTGAAGTTTGGAAGCACAGCAATTGTACCTTCACCTGAAACTATCTTTTTACCCTTTACTGCAGTTGTCATCATCTTTAGAAATGAGGTCTATTTCGTAACAATGTGTTTTATTGCTGTCCTTCTCCTGAGACTAAAAGTTGCATACGGTTGAGGAAAAGATCCAAAATTTTATAATCATGAAAACAGAAGGAGGTTGTAGATGAGATAAGATTGGCCATGGCAGGGGCTGGGGGTGGGTAGGACTGGGGGACAGGCACCCTGAGTACATTATAGGATTCTGTCTACTTCTCAAGGTGGGAGGTTTTCCATTCTAGAAAAAGGGGGATGTGAGGTCAAGAAGCACTGTCATACAGCATTTCTAGGTTTTCAGGTCCCAGTTTTCAGTAAAAACAGGATTTCAGCATCCCATTTACTGATTGATACTGGAACCATACGTTGGACCCATAGTGTTGGCTACATGTCAGAAATCCTTCACATTTTAGTCAAGGTTCATCACTTCCCCTCTAAAACCACCTTCCATAAAGGTCATCTCACATCCAATCGACAAATATTTCTTGAGCATCTACTATGTACCAGGAACTGTGCTACGAATTTGAGGTTCATCAGTGGAGAAAACAAAGACCCATTCCTGCACGAAGCTTTTGCTCAAGTGGGCTGAACTATAAACATTAACAAAATAGCCACACGATAATGAATAGATATTGTATACTCCGTTAGAAATTGATAAGTGCAATGGAAACGATATAACAAGGCAAGGGGACAGGGGGTGGGTTGAGTTGCAATTCCAAAGAAAGTAATCAGGATGAGCCTCATTAAGAAGGGGATATATGGTCAAAGATGTGAAGAAAGCAAAGGAATGGGCCATGAGACTGTCTAAGGAAAGGGCGAGCCTGGCAGAGGGATCAGCCCGTGCAAAGGCCCTGAGGAAGATGGAGGGTGCCTGGATGTTCCAGGAAGAGCAAGGAGGTTTGTGCTGCTGGAATAGTATCTCCTTTCAGGGAGGCCAGAGTGAGTGAGGGGAGGGTAGGAAGGGATGAGGTTAGAGAATAACAGAGGCAGACAATGATATTAAAGATGTGGCTTTTCTCAGAGATGGGACATCACTGGAGGGTGTGGAGCAGAGATGTAAGATGCTCTGGTCCATATTTTTAAAGGAGTAGTCTGGATGCTGCCTAGGAAACAGACCAAGGGGATGCAGCGATGGAGGTGGAGAGACGAGGTAGAAGCTACTGCCGGAACGCAGGTGCGAGGTGACGGGGGCTTGGACAGGGTGGCAATAGCACAGTGAGGGGCAGTGATTGGCTTCTGGATATAAAATGATGGTCTGACATACCGGCTGAGAGAGAGAGGAGTCACAGATGGCTCCGAAGTGTTTGACGTGAGCCACCAAAGGATGGAAGGGCCATTACCTGAGGTAGTGAAGGCTGCAGGTGGTGCGGGTTAGGAGTGGAGGGAGGGGTTCATCCCGACTTCAGTCTCGGATTTGCTCACTATGGGATGTTAAGCAGACAGTGGGACATGTGAGACTGAAAAGTGAGAGAGGATTCCGGGCTGGAGATAAACGGGCGTCCTCAACACGAGAGAGGATATTTTAAACCGTGGGGCTGGATGAGACCACCAGAGTACAACCAGAGAAGAAAGGAGGCCAAGGCAGAGCGAGGAGATGGAACAAGCAAAGAAGCGACCCGCGAGGAAGAGAACACAAAGCATCCAGCGTCCTGGAAGCGGGCAAGACCCGCAGTGCAGGCGGCACGATGAGGACAGAGACCAGACCTTGGATCCTGCATCTCGGGTCATCAGTGACGTTGGAAAGAACCATCTGGTGGAGTCAGGCACCAGAGTCCGATGAGAGGGGATTTCAGGTAGAAAAGGAGACAAATATGGAACACGCTCTTGTGGGGCTGAACAGCAAAGGGAGAGGTGGGGCAGTGAAGGGGAAGGGTTTTATGATGGTTTGGAAGATGGGAAATGACAGCACATCTGGGCATGTGAGGGCTGAGCCGGCAGAGGGGAGATGGAGCGTGAGAGTGAGAGTGAGGCCTAGGCAGGGGTCTTGCTCTTGCTGAGGTAAGAAGAGCTGGGAATCAAGCCCAAAAGTGGAGAGGCTGGCTCTGTGAGAGCCCAGCAGAGAGGAGGATTCGGGGTTCAGATCCTGGAGGGTGGGTGTGCGTGATGCGGAGAGACTGATGACGGGCCAGATGTGCAACCTGAGCAGCCAAGCCAGTGGGCGCCTGCATCCCTCTGCACACTGACCGCATCCCTGGGGCCCGCTGACCGCCTAGGGGCCGCAGCGCTGAGTGTACCCAGCACGCATCGTGCCCCCAAGAGCTTGGGTTCACATTCTATTTTTGCTGCTTTTCAGCTATATAAGCTTGAACTAGCTGTTCATGCTCTGTCTCTGCCTCGGTTTCCTCATCTGTAAAGCAAGGAAATGGGTAGTCACCTCCCCACTGGAGTGGTTGTGCACATCTAAGGAATAAGCTTGAACTAGCTGTTCATGCTCTGTCTCTGCCTCAGTTTCCTCATCTGTAAAGCAAGGAAGTGGGTAGTCACCTCCCCACTGGAGTGGTTGTGCGCATCTAAGGAGGTAATACTTTTAAAGCCCTTATCTCAGTGCCTAGCAAAGAGCCTTTGCCATCAGCATCATTCGTCCCTGGATGCCTGTGAGTGAAGCCACTGCATCGCCAGCCGGGCTCCTCTCTGATCCCATTATGAAACTCGCTTTGGGTGTTACTGGAAAAGCATCGCTTCGCCTCCTAATTCACAGTTTCTTACTCTCACCCAGGCAAGACGGCATCATGGAATACAGCTCTGGCTGGAACCCGCATTCCACAACAAACAAGCTGTGAAGTCTCGGGCAAAGTCTTGGGCAAGCCTCTGGGTCTCTTCAAGCTTTATTTTCATCCTACGTAAAGGCAGGACCGAATGAGCTCTGTGGTCTCTTCAAGGTCTACAGTCACGAAACATTTTTTTTCCCTCGAGAAGAAAAAGTCTTGACTACATAAAGAAATAGAGTCGGCGAGGGGTGCAGGGGGCCGAATGTGTTTTGCAGAAAGTCCTTTAAGAACACAGAGCGGCTCTCGGTGGAGCTGAGCCTGTGCTCATGGACTCCTACGGCCGAGGGCTTCCGGGTGGATGCTGAGAAGACCAGATCCTGAGTCAGCCACACTCACCCACCCAGCCCGGTGGCCACCTGGACACGCGCACCAGACAAGGGCTGGTTCTGTGATTCTAAGCACAGACAAACTCCTTCACCCTCAAAGCCCACCGTTGAGAGGCAGCCCATCCTACAGGACCGAGGGACCCACCCTGGCAAAATCTGGGCTTCAGAAAAACAAGTTCAGTCCCTGATTTCCCACCTGAGGAGGTGGCTTCTCTGAACGTGACCTAGCACGTTCAGAGCAGCCAGGATAAGAAAACACATCTGCAAGAAGCAGCCCCATCCAGATACGAGAAACACTGTGCAAAATAAGATGCCAGTTTGCAATCTAACACGGCCATAACCATTTTGCAGCGAACATCTCTTTCTGAGTTCAGGTAAGAGGTTCACCCAGCTTTTGTAAGTTTCACAGCCACGTGAGGTCTCGGCTTTGCAGGCTGCTAACATCCAGTTCCGTAAAGTAGAAAGTAAGAACCGTTCATCTCGATGATCGTGAGCAAAATAGCTTTGCGTGTCATGTGACAGTGACTGAACGGGCAAAGACCCTGTCCAAAAAAATAAAGTGCTTCATTGCCACCCAACCCTGCAGAACAGGCTCTTCCAAACCACCAGAAGAATATTGAAGGTTTAACTCCACACCACAAAACTCAGCTGTTCCTTGGCCATCTGAGAAGTTCAAAGAAGCTGAGCTAGGATCTGATTTAGGAAACGGACCCAGGAAGACGCTCCCTTGACCAGGACTCAGTTCAGTGCTCAGAGTCCCAGGGGGTTCTTACGAGTGTCTTGAGTTAAATCCACCCAAGTTCCCAGAAAAGCTCCCAGCATCCTTCACAGACGAAGCCTTGCATCCAGCTGCCTTCCGGTTTGCACTTGGAGACCTGACGTGCAGACCAAGGGCACGTGGAGCTGACAGGCGGGGTTGCCGCAGATGGCTGGGAAGAAATGCCATGCTCTCGGGGTCGCGCGCTCAGCAGAGTGGCCAGCGAGTCTCTACAGTGGGCCAAGCTTCACAGCGATTTCTGAGCCAAATCTTGAAAGGCTGATTGCTGTCTCGAGCTGGGTGTCTCTGGGGGGCTGAGCTGCAGCCACTGTGGAGGTGTCTTCTGGCACGTGCTTTGCAGTGAGTTGAGGGCCAAGCTGCTAACACGGTCTCAGGCCAGCCAGACCCACTGCAGTGAACAAAGGGAGCTGGGGCGCATTGGTTCACCCCAGTCTCTGCACTAAAAGGCACAGGAATGGGATTTGAGGAGGAGGGGACTCGAGCAAGGGACTGACAGATGCCAGCAGCAAGGCTTCCCTCGGAGCCTCCCACACCACCGTCCTCTCCCAAGAGGCAGCACGCAGGGGTGTACTGAGAGGTGGGCTCTCATCCCTGCTCCAGTGTCTGCTGGCTGTAATCCTTGGGACAGGCCCGCATGCTTCTCTAAGCTGCTGTTGCCTTGTGTGTGAGATGGGGTGCTAACACCCACCACTCCGTATAGATGCTGACCCCGGACATGAGAAAATGCAGGCATACATCACTTAGTGCAACAGGGTAGGTACTCAAGAGAGAGTATCTGTGATGGCTTGGGGCACCAGATGGGGATTCGTCCGCGGTGGCGTTCAGGTTTAGATTGGGAAGCCTTCAGGATATCACCCTCACTCTTCGGCCTCTTCCTTCCTTACTCCCTCCCTACCCCAGGAGTCTCAGCCGTGCCATCCAAGATCTTTCAAACACCATCACCGCGGGCTGTCTGCTGTGTGTCCAGATGTGCCGCTGGGCTCCCTTCAGATATCTGGACACTCTTCCTCCAGGGAATTTTCCAGAGCCTGCCAATACAGCAGGATATTGTGAGGCTTGATGTGATGGCAGGCCACGATCTTCTTGTAACGGCATATGGTGAAGGGTAACCCATTGGGGAAGAAAGTCTGCTTGGAGTGAAGCTCCTCCAGTGTGATTTGCAGTTTTTCCAGGCAGAGCCCCACAAAGACATCTTCCAGTTTAATGAATGGGACACTTTCAGCTACGTTGTACACCTGGCCCGCCACATCGCTGGAGAAAACATAGCCAACACCGGAGCAAAAGGGCGGGTACTTGTCCCACGGATATTCGAATTTACTAACAAACCACTTATTATACCTTTTCCTGATTGGGTATTCGTTTAGTTTTAAGTAGCCGGTGAAAAACCGAGTTGTTCTGTTTTTCTTCAGGAGCAGTTCAGTCAGATAGTAGATGTTGACAAACATGTCAGAGTCTGTTTTCATCACGAAAGATGCCTGCGGACAAAAACGGTAGATCCACTCCATACCCATCATGGTCTTTAGAGTCAGATTGGAATAAACATCCACGAAGTCCTTCTGGATAATATCGTGATATTGCTGGCTCTCCTGGGACACGGCCCTCGACATGCCTTTACTGGGGGTGGTTCCCAGGAGGAAGAATGTTTTTATTCGTTTTCCCCTCACGATCTTTTCTCTCCCCCACGTGCTCCGGATGACCGAGCGGGCAAACATCTGCTCGTGGGATGAAGTAACCAGCAGGACAAGGAAGGGGGGGTCCTGCCTGCAGTCTATATCTGGGAGCTGAAGGAAGCTCCCACCTTCGTTCTTGAAAACCAATGGTTCGCCTTTAAAAGGACTCAGACCATCCAGGCTAAAATACAGACAAAGGGCTCCCAGGACCACCAGGGAAATATAAATCCATCTCATCTTCACATAAGCCATCTGAAAGGAACAAAGTCAAATGGTTAGACCTCAAAAGCAGGAGTGCCTGTTTAGCTTTACCCTGGCAGGCTGAGATGGGGGACAAGACCCACGTTTCATGGCTCAGGTTTTAGAAACTCTGGAATCTTGTTGCAGACAGAAGTGGAGAACCATGGTTCCACACAGAGGCAGAGACGGCTGCCAGCATCTCTCACCCCCTAGCGGAAGATCAGGCTCAGGCAGCCCTTCACCGATGGGAGCCTCACATTCCTTACCCAGAAGGATATGGAAACACAGGGCTCACTAGGTCCGTCCTTCCGGTTCTGCCCTTCTCTGACTCCATAATGACATCTGGCTAGAGAACCTGCAAGGCTAGGCCTACATGTACAGACCACTGGCATTCTTCTCTGATTGACTTAAGTACCACGTCGTCACTCCCAGAAAGAAGCAAGACCAGTCTTCAGATGTGCACAACTACCTTGGAATTCCGTCTCTGCTAGCAGTGGCCGTTTTTTGTTTTGTTCTGTTCTGTTTTTAGCTTACTGTTTAAATCTCCTGGTTGTTTTATCTTTTGCTTACCTCTCTTTTATGCTCCACAAATTCAGGATTATCCATGTCAGTGTTATAACATTAAGAAAGCAAATAACTCACTCTTTTCCTGGGTAAGATGAACCTCTGGGTTGAAAGCTAAGCCAAAGGGAAGATTCCAAGAGCTGTCAGCATATGACATTCAGCACGATCAGGTTCTGGGCCTGGTTTCTTTGCCAAAACAATGATTCTCTTCCTTGGGACGCCCTATAAGGGCAAACCAAAAAGAATAGTGTCATTAAAAGCCCTCATGCCTCACCGGCAGCTCTTCACCTTTTGCTGTACTGAAGCATTTGCTGTAGTGCCAATGCACCACCCACCTGCAAGACATTAATCCCCAGCCTCACTTTTCTCATCTGTAAAATGGGTCCAGTCAAGACAAATCCCAACACACGGTTCCCCTGTTGACAATAATAACAGCAAGCAAATATCCAGGAATCTTTTTAGCCTAATGGGTTAGGACAGCAGCCAGAAATTTTTAAGGAGACACGACGGACATGTAAGCCAGTGACAGTCACGTAACAGAGTCCATGGAGGATGCTTAAAGAACCTAACACAGGGAGGAAACCAACCCATCAATTCTCAACTCAGTGTCCACGTTTTCAGAATGTTATGCTGGATAAGAGGACATAGGGGTGGGCTTCCCTGGTGGCGCAGTGGTTAAGAGTCTGCCTGCCGATGAAGGGGACACGGGTTCGTGCCCCAGTCCGGGAAGATCCCACGTGCCGTGGAGCGGCTGGGCCCGTGAGCCATGGCCGCTGAGCCTGCGCGTCCGGAGCCTGTGCTCCGCAACGGGAGAGGCCACAACAGTGAGAGGCCCGCGTACCGCAAAGAAAAAAAAAAAAAAAAAAGAGGACATAGGGGTTAGCAAGAAACCCACAAAGTGAAATGTAGAAAGGGTTGGTTGTTTTGATAGCCAAAGAGGACTTGAAATTTCATTAAGTAAAAATCTGTTCCAAGTACATTCTTCATAAAAGAAATGGAACAATGATGGAGCTCTCCAGAACTAGCCCACCCTCTGGAGGCTAACTCGGTCCAGCTGCTGTTCTTCTGGGTCCCCCATGGAGCTCCTGACCAGCTGCAGCCCTCACTGACTTCACAGAAATCACCACAGGACACAAAAGGACTTTGAGAACGTGGCTGAGCCTGCAGGAGGCTGAGAAGTCTACAACCCTTTGTGAGGTTATTTACTTGCAGGGCTAGGATGTGTAGTCGATTTGGGGGGGGGAAGGTGTAAGGGAAACGAAATTGCATTTTCTCCCGCAGTATACTCTAGAAAGAAACAAGAAAACCAACGCAGGGGAAAAGACGCTATTTCTCGATTTTGCTTCCTTTCGCAGGTAAGTTTGCTCTTCCTCTGTAGTTGCCTCAACAGCAAACCTTGGTTTTCATTCCACCTCCTGTGCCCTTTCCCGGGACCCTTCGCCTGGATCTCAGTCCCCAGGAAGGGACGCTCAGCTCACTCACAGCACTGGCGTTCAGACGGCAGAGCGAGCACCACGCTCCATGGCCCGACTGGCCAACACTCCCTGGGGTCGTTCGTTTTCACGTGCAATTGGAAGAAACTTCCTGCCTACAGTGCAGTGACCAAGAAACATACTCTGGGGACCTCCCTGGGGGCGCAGGGGTTAAGAATCCGCCTGCCAATGCAGGGCACACGGGTTCGAGCCCTGGTCTGGGAAGATCCCACATGCCGCAGAGCAACTAAGCCGGTGCACCACAACTACTGAGCCTGCGCTCTAGAGCCCGTGCTCCACAACAAGAGAAGCCACCGCAATAAGAAGCCTGCCCACCGCAACAAAGAGTAGCCCCCACTTGCCACAACTAGAGAAAGCCCACACGCAGTAACGAGGACCTAACGCAGCCAAAAATAAATAAATAAAATAAGTAAATTTATTTAAAAAAAAAAAAAAAAAAAGGAAACACACTCTCCAGAAGTTATACCTCACACTCCCATTTACATCTGCATCTCTGATCGAGCATATGGTGTGTCACCAGGACCAGGAATCCAAGCTTCCATCGAAGGACCAGAGGCTACAGGGCCTGGAGACAAAGGCATTGGAAGTCCACACCCCAAGGCCTGGAAAGCCAAAGGGACAGTCTGGAAAGTTAAGTTCAAGTGGGCTGGTGGGGAAGACCTCCTGGATCTGAAGGGAAAGACCTGGAATGAACAGCAATGGTCCACTCTGAGGCCAGAGAGAGTGTCCAGGGCCAAAGCACACAGCCAAGAGGCCCATGGCCTCAAGGGAGAGAGAACTGGTGAGGAGCCCAGCCCATTGGATGGGCCAGGTGAAGGATGTGGTACTCGAGCTTGTTATTGAAGGGCAGGTGCGATGTGACAGGTGGCAGCAGAGGTGGGAATTCCAGAGCCAGGGACTCACAGAGGGTGGTGGGCAGTTCAGAGGGCTGGGACCCACCTTCAGGACATCTGCCCCAGAGCTATCCTCACACATCTGAGAAGACTGCTGCCAACCCACGGGCCATCGGAGAGCAGAATGGCATCGCAGGGAATGCACAGTGAATGGATGACATGCAGCCTGAGAAACCCAGAGGCTCTCAAACTCAGTAGGTGGAAGAATCTCCCAGGAAGCTGCTTAAAAATGCAAGTTCAAAGGTTCCATCCCTTAAAAGGAATGAAATAATGCCATTTGCAGCACATGGATGGACCTAGAGATTATCATAGTAAGTGAAATAAGTCAGAAAGAGAGAGGCAAATACCATATGATATCACTTAGATGTGGACTGTAAAATATGACAGAAATGAACTTATCCACAAAACAGAAACAGACTCACAGACGTAGAGAACAGACTTGTGGTTGCCAAAGGGAAGGGGGTATAGAGGAAGGATGGATTGGGAGTTTGGGATTAGTAGATGCAAACTGTTATAATATAAAGACTGGAAAAAACAACAAGGTCCTACTGTAGAGCACAAGGAACTAGATTCAATATCCTGTGATAAACCATAATGGAAAAGAATATGAAAAAGAACGTATATATGTATAAACTGAATCACTTTGCTGTACAGTAGAAATTAACACAACACTGTAAATCAACTATATTTCAATAAAATAAATTATTTTACAAAAGGGTGTCATCCCACACAGACTCAGGTAAGGCAGGTCTGGAGCCCAAGAATCTGTGTTTTCATATGTCCCAGGTGACTACTCTAGGCTGGTTCCTTTGAAAACACCAGTGGGCAGCACTCGGGTAAAGCAGTCTGGAATAAGCTTCCCTACAACTGCCCCAGACCTACGCTGGGCCGCAGCTCTCAGCTCCCACCTGGTGCCCAGCCCCTGCCCACTGGAGGAGACCTGGGTGTCAGCCTCCAAGGCAGTGGGAACAATGCAGCTCTTGCAGTGCAATGGCCGTGCGTCAACTTGCCTAGGCCATGAGGTGCCTAGACATTTGGTCAAACACTATGCTGGGTGTGTCTGTGAGGGTGTTTTTTGGATGAGATGAAAATTTGAATAAGGCGGCTGAATAAAGCAGATTGCCCTCCCTAGTGCGGGTGGGCTGCACCCAATCAGTTGAAGGCCTGAAGAGAAGAAAAAGGCTGACCTTCCCCCAAGTGAGGGGAACTCCTCCTGCCTGACTGCTTGGACTGGTACTTCACGGTTTTCCCTGCTTTCAGACTCCAGCTAAACATCAGTTCTTCCTGAGGCTCGAGCTGTTAGACTAGAACCACACTCTTGGCCCTCCTGGGTGTCCAGCAGGCTGACTGCAGATCTTGGAGCTTCTCATCCTCCATCACCATGTGACCCAGCTCCTTAAAATAAACCTCAACTTATCAAGCATCTCCTGTTGGTTCTGTTATGTGGTGAGTGCACCCCACCCCACCCCTGCGTCTTGGGAACAGCCTGTCAGTGATGCTTCCAGGGCAGCGTTTATGGTGGAGGGGGCAAAGAGATTTTTCTGGAAGCATAAGGGAGAGGAGCAAAAGATAAGGAAGACATCAGGAGTACACACCCCATCACAGGTTTCTCACAGGACAATGAGTAAATGGAGGGGAGTGAGGCACAGAACAATCATGTCCTGCAATTCTGTTTGCACTCAGATGACTCCCCCAGGCTGTCTGGTAGCCTGGGCAACCAGATATCTTATACAAAAGCTGAGGGTGTCTATCTAATCTTTTAACAAAGTTCAGCAGTTTCCTTTACTATACACATAAGCTGATGTGCAGTTAACTATGTAAGAAAACTGGCATTACGATAGAAAAATAGGTTAATGGAGCAGAAGAGAGAGCCCAGAAAGAAACCCACACATATGATAAATGCAACACAATTTCGTGGGGAAAGAGTGATCTTTCAATCAAGAGTCCTGGGTCCAGGCTTCCCTGGTGGCGCAGTGGTTGAGAGTCCGCCTGCCGATGCGGGGGATGTGGGTTTGTGCCCCGGTCCAAGAAGATCCCACATGCAATGGAGTGGCTGGGCCCATGAGCC